ATAGTAGAGGGATCCTACTTTATATATAATAAAAAATACGCAGTGGAGAGCCCATGATGTATTGTCTTTTCCTTGATTTCCACCAAGATTATCTCCCATAGTGCGGTTGCAACGGCCCTTGTCTGCGAGCTCAATACTGGCTCGAGCTCGGTATTGGACCGAGCCCTCGGCCTTGGTCCGAGCTCGATTCTGACTTGGGGTCTCGGTATTCGGGGTGAGTGTTGGTCGGTCTATATATCTTCGATAATCTCTGCTTTACCTCGTAGTTCGATTTGGATATGAGCTCGATAATGATACCGAGCTTGTCATTGATTGGTCTTAGAGCTCGAAGCTCGACGCCCTTACTTCGGACCTTGACCGAGCTTGTCATGCAGATATCCTTTGATCGAAACATTATCGTCTCGACCAGTCCGTACTACTGACTTAAATCGGTTTTGACCGTACACACATAGTCCCCTTGTTTCTCGGAAAAGGATTTGGCGAGAAACGATATGATTTCCCAACAGCTCGATCAGATATATACTGACGTTTTCATCAATCCTGACCATGACGTATGTGATAGTTGTCCCATCGGTTCGGTTTTACCGAGGCATTTAATGTGCCAGACGGTGGTCGGCCACCTCTGATATTGAACTGTCATTGCTTCAATCTATAAATAGCCTTTCCTTCCACCATTTATCATTTTTACGTCTTCAATCTTCCAAATTTTTCAAGTTCCTTTTTGTCTTTTCTGAGTTTTCTGCCTGTAAATATGTGAGTTTTACTGCAAACTCTTCCTTAGAACACCAAATACTTCCATTCTTTGTCTACGGAATTTTAAATGGCAAAAACGTCTAAAACTGTTCTGCAAAAAGAGACTGCTTCTTCATCTCGACCTGCTAGTGGCGAGGATGTGGAAGAGCCCCACCCTGAGAAATTCGTTCCGGTTGGGTGTTCGACTGTAGGCGATTTTAAAATTGAAAAGCCTTCTCCGATACCGGGTCGGTTTGAGCCGATGTCGAGGTACCAATGTTCAATTACCGAAAAAGTTCTCGATAAAGTTATACAGGAATGCAACTAGGATAATAAACTCGTAGTAATCCCATCGCCCGATAAATCAATTACTACCCACGTCGAAGGGTTCTTAAGTGTTTATACTTATCCTTTTACGTTGGGACCCCTAGACCCTGTCATCGTTGCCTTTTGTAAGAGGTACGATGTGACCCTCGGCCAAATCCACCCTTCCTTTTGGAGGATAGTGATTCTTCTTCGATTTTTCTCGAGCATAGATGAGACTCGGGATCGGGGTTGGATGGGTCGCTTTGTTCGAATCAAAACCTCGGACCTGATCCGTGCCGATGACTTGCCATTTCCCGAGAAATTAAATATGAGCCGTGAATAAACGTTTCTCTTTGCCCGTTTTGATTTTGTGATTGCCTTCTATTTTGTTGATCCATTTTTCCTAATCACAGCCGTAGCTCGAATGCCAGAACCGATCCCGAATCTTAGACAATGGGTCGAAAGTCTGGTGTTGCAGAGACCGTACTCCGAGCGTGCTTGGGTCAAATTATCAAAGGGTCGATGGGAGGCCCGCAGTCATGGTAAATCTATTTTGTTGACTTGCTTCTTCATCGGTTTGTATGGTAAATCTCCCTCTTCCCTTTTGTAGGACTTGGGAAAGATATAGTCATGAGGCCCCCATCTGGTGGCGAAGAAGTTCCTGTCCTGAAGTAGGTAAAATAAAGGAAGATAAAAGACGTATCGGGCTCCCCGAGCTCGGAAAAGAAGAAACCATCTAAGAGATCTCGAAAGTCGAATGAGGGCTTTGGTGTTATGTCTTCGGAAGTGGTCCGCCATTTAAGGGACGAACCTAAAGAAGGAGAGGAGAATTTAGCCTGCGTACGGACTACTGTTGTGATTCAACAGTCTTCCAATTCGGTGGAAGCAAATCAGGGAACCTTGGCCATAATCCCAGAACAAAAAGAAGTTGAGATTATCCCTTCTCGAGCTAAGATGATAGAAAGGAATACCGAGGATGGATCTTCTCGGGAAGTAGAAGATATTTTAACATGAGTTCAGGATAGTTGACATTGGCAGATCCCCTCAGATTTCGGATGCCATGATTCGAGAGGCCGTCATGTTGGAGGATCGGTCCTATGAGGGTATTCAGGAGTCGGCCGATATCCATGGTTTTCTGGAGGGGCTCGAGTCAGATGCCTCGGAGGAGGTTACCGGTTTTGGTGGAATGCCGGTACCCAAAAAAGTGTCGTGGTCGGGTTCTATCGAGCCTTCATCGATTCATAAACTGGTGGATCGATTTCTGGCCCCGAGTATCGATCCCGACCGAAGGCGGAAGATAGTGCTCTCCGTACCTGCGGATACCCGAATTTTTTCTTCCGCTGTGGGGATTGCCAGTTACCTTCGGTCCTTGGTGACCGAAGAGAATCAATCAATGATGAATGCGGTGGGGCCCGACTGTCTCTTCAACGAGGCCCAACATGCTTTGAATCAGGTAAATCTGATAGCGTTTTCGCCGCTTTTCTTTAACACATAGAGTTGCAGGTAATTCTAATGTTTCTCCTTTTGTTTGTAGGCTTCGTTGTTACATCAGGAGGCCTTTCTTCGAATCCTGGAAGAGCATGATGCCGAGGTTTGGAGCCTCACTGAGAAGAGTGACTCGTACAAGCTCCTTAGCGAAAAACTTCGAGCAGATTTGACAACGGCTCGGGAAGAGCATGAGGAGATGGCTGAGC